CTCCCGCTCTGCTGGTCTCTTCAGTCTCCCCATTCCCGCGGCACACCCCTCCCCAACATAACTCCACTCCCCAGTGCTCTCCAGCCACCGCCTCTTCGTCCCCACAGTCCCAGGCCTCCTCGCCTCCTCAGTTCCCAACCTCTGTCTGGGCTCCCCTCCAAGATCCCTCCTCAATCCACACACTCTGGGCCTCCCCACTCCTCATTCAGCCCCCACAACTAGATCTCCCCGACAGGCCCCACTCTGCTGGTCCCCACTCTGTCTGCCCTTAGCCCCCAACTCCTCTCTCCAGTCCCTTCACACAGGGACCCGTCGTCCCCTTCCAGTCAGCATACAGCTGCCCCGCTCTCACCTTAATCTCCTCCACCCGCCGGGTCAGGCGGCTGATCCGGGTCCCCAGATCCTCCTTTTCCAGCCTCCCGGAGTGTGCCAAAACTTCTGTCACGAACGAGGCCATGGCCAAGACGGGAATCAATGCTGACTGGGTCACTCTCGTAGCCAGCGCGGCGGCTCCCGTCCCGCCGGCCGTCTTGACGCGCGGCCTGCCGGGAAACGGAGTCTCCAGGGCCTCAGACCGCCGCCCGGAAGGCGAGGAGCGCACTACAACTCCCAGCAGGCACCGCTCCAAACCCGGGATGGGATTTCCACGGTGTCCCGTAGTTGGCAAACTGTATGCAGACGCGTTTTCTTCCTTAGTTGTTTTCAAAGTTTGTCGCTTCCCGCCCGTTTTTCACTGAAGGAAATTAAACGTTTTTAATGACCAGGTCTAACTGAATCTTTCTAAACTTCAAAAGGCTTACGTGTAAAATTACCTAACTGAAAGAGCCAACGAGCCCATCTCGATCTTTTTTCCTCAACTTTTATTGGGCCGCTGTGGCACCAGAAGCTATGAACGGCGCCCTCTGGAGTTGTGTAAAGAAGTGGCGTCACCTCATTATAAATAAAAGGTTGCCTGTAATTGCATCTATGTACATATATTACATCTACGTGATACATTACACATTTACATTACCTACATTACATATTTATATTACTTAGATAGACATAATATTAGTCCTGTGTGAACAAGAACAAGATACTTAGTACCTTCTGTCAGATTATAAATATGTAAATGTGTCAAAAGCTTTTAGAAATGGTTTATTTTAATGCATTGCATATAGAAAGATGTTCACCATATTCTATGTATAGTATGGTTCCTTTTCAAAAACGTAAGTCTATAGCCATTGTTTGGTCAAAAAACAAAAAGGTAAGTAGGTATGTAAAGGACAGACATCAAATTATCCCATGGGTGGTGGATTTATGGTGTTTATGCTCTTCTCTGCCCTTGCTTTCTCTATTTTTCTGCAGTAAACATACACAGTCCTCCCTTGGTAAGGGGGGATTGGTTCCAGAAACCTCCCCTGCCCCCATAGCAAAATCCATGGATGCTCAAGTCTCTTACATAAAATGATGTAATGTTTACAAGTAATCAGCACACATCCTCCCCATACACTTTAAATCATCTCTAGATTAGTTATAAGACCTAATACAAATCAGTCTAAATGCTATATAGTCATTATATTGTATTTTTATTTGCATTATTTTTTGTTGTTGTATTGTTGTTTTTTATTAGTTTTTTCCAGAATATTTTCGATCTGTGGTTGGTTGGATCCATGGATACCAAGAGCCAAATGTACTGCTTTGATTAAACGTAAAAGGTTTTTTGTTTTTTAAAATGGTATATTGTGAGGGTTGACCCCAAATAGGCACTGACCCTAAGATCCCTGACAATTTTAAGTGTCTGCGAGATAATCTGCTTATCCCAGTGAAGCAAGGGCTGATTCATGTGCCATAAGCAGAGGAAACAAAACTGGGATTGAGAGAGGAAGCACTGAAAACAGTCAAAACATCGAGAGAAACTCCTTTCCTAGGAAAACCAAATCAATTTCTTTTTGGTAGACCTGTCAACTTTACTTTGAATTCTAACTGCACTAATAATAAATGCCCAATGAAATGACAAAGAATGACTGACAGATGAAAATTCTGAAACTTTGTACTGCATATTTATTAAGCAATTATCACATAGCAGACGTTGTGCTAGGTCTGGGGACCCACGACATGTGAATATATAATCACAGAAAAATATGATAATTACTAATCTGTAGGTAGATGAGGGATGGATCTAGATTTAGTGGAACCTGAATCTTATGCAGTTGCAGGGAGGGGAAAGACTCTTTAAGAAAAAGAATATAAAATAAGGAATACAAAATTAGATGCCAGTCTTAGAAGGGACCTGTGAAAGTAACGAGCCCTGAAGTTTAATCTGCCCCTGAGGAAGGTGCAAATGGCAGAGGAAATATTGGAGGAGAAGCACGCAGTCTCTGACTGAATCAGAAATGTTTCACAATGTTAACATTTACAGGAGGCCATTGCTTTGAACTGAGTTCCTGCACTAAGCCCAACAGACCAAACCAAAATGGAGTCACTCATGCTAAAGCTCTGCTTCACCAAACCAAAACTAAGCTGTCTATCTGACCTTCTGAGAAATCAGGAGAATGAGAGATAATCACCAAATTCCCAAACCTGCCAGTTTCAGTCAGCGTGATAACGAAGTTCCCTCTGTTTTAATTCTTACAAAAAAGCACCTGAACTAAACTGATGCCAATCAATCAGTTATTTTCATATTGTTCTGTTTCTCGGTTCCCACCTTACAAGGAAATTAAATTTGAAACAGCCAATCTGCTTTATGTTCTTTGTTTCTCTTTTCTTCAGCCTTTTTCTTTCTATAAAACCAACCTCCTCTGTTCAGCTCATCAGGACACTGATTCTACTTTATGGAATGAAGTGTTGCCTGATTCTAGAATCACAAATAAAGTGAATTAAGATCTTTAAACTAAATTTGTTGTAATTTTGTCTTTCGACAACGGTAATGAGAAATCTGAAGTGAGAATGAAAGGAAGTGCTACTTTGAGATTGAGGTTCTGGGACCTCCCTCCAGAAAACCTGTCTGTACATACCCACAAAACACAACTGCCTAAGCTCTTGCTTCTTCCTGAGCAGAGAGACTACTGGGTAAGGAAGACTGTTCCTCAAGGTCCAAGGAAAAGTCAAGGAAGAGCCAGAGTTAGGCTGAGAAAGGAGAAGAAATAGCATGCAGCATGGACTGCGATGGCTGTACACAGTCAATGCATGCAACAATGAATGAATACTTGAATTTTAAAAAAGAAATTAATAGATGCATGTGTTCTGTATTCCCTCATTAACCTCATCTTCTTCATAGTTCACATTTATCATGGCTTATATGTCTCCCAATTCACAGATGTTCACAAATCATCAGGATAAGGCAAGGAAGTCAGGAGCAAAGTCTGAAAGGATTCCTCCTGGCCTATCATGACTCACATACACATGACATACCTGTATTCAAGAAGCAAAGTAGCGAATGCATTATTTCTGGCAGAGGACAGTATAAGCAGACAGCGTTTCCAAGTTTGCACAGTGTTTTCCATCATGTTGCTATAATAGCAGCATAAGGTGCCTACAATTTGAAAAAGCAACCCATTTGCTTCAGGGAAGGAGTGGGTGCAGGTAGAAATGAAGCAAGATTGGGATGAGTGGATAATTTTTGAAGTGGAACAATGCAATATGGGATTTCTTTATACCATTCATTCTACTTTTGTATATGCGTGAAGTTTTCTGTAATAAAACATAAAAGAAAAATGAGCACTTCAAATGATTCTGTGTGCCTTCCCCCAAAACCTCACACCACTGATAAACACTGATATACCAGATGTCTTAGGCGTTGAGCCATCAGTTAGACAAAGTCAAGATCCTCCTTTCTCAGGATATGTCTCTTCCTTTCAGGAACATCTTTGCTTTCACTTCATATCTACCACACAGTGTGGAGTAGGTTAATTTGTGAATAGGGAAACACATGAGTCAGACATTCATGACTCCAACAGAATAAATCCGTTTTCTTCTCTGTCTTGCTATAAAGACTAAGTCTCACCCACATGCTGTGTCACCAGTGTGCAGAGGCAGCTTCTGCAGCCTGGGGACAAGAACATGAAATGTCCGAGTTTGAGCTGCCTGGCTCACATTGAGTCTGTTGTTTACCAGCTGGGGCACCTTGGCAAGTTACCTAAAGTGTATCGTATAGTGACAGCGTGAAGATTAAGTAAGGATAAAGCGTCTAGCCGAAAGTCTGGCATTTAGCCGCACGCAGTAAATGCAAATTATTTCCTTTCCTGTCAGAACCTGCTACTTGGCAGCAGCAACAAACAGGAATGGAAGCTGGTATGATTACCATTTATTATAGTTGCTGTCCCAGCAGCAAGGGGAGCCTGGGGAGGGAGCACCTCCCTCTGGGGATATTCTGGGTTTGGGTAGGTTCCTTGGATTGAGGAATTTAAAATTATTTTGTAAAATTAATATTTGTGGGCTTTTGTAATAAAAATATTAAGTGATAAATTTATAAAATGTGTAAAATGCATAGGTAAGCACAAATAAGGAAATAAAAACTATGTATAATTTTATCACCAAAATAATCATTTTAACATTTTGTGGTCTACACAAACACACACACACACACACACACACAGAGGCACATATTTCTATATATTCTTTGTCTTTTTCTTTTTTTTGAGATGGGGTCTCTCTGTCACCCAGGCTGGAGTATAGTGGCATGATCTCGGTTCACTGCAACCTCCCCCTCCCAGGTTCAAGAGATTCTCCTGCTTCAGCCTCCTAAGCAGCTTGGACTACAGGCATGTGTCACCATGCCCGGCTAATTTTTTCATTTTCTTAGTAGAGGTGAGGTTTCGCCATGTTGCCCAGGCTGGCCTCGAACTCCTGGCCTCAAGTGATCCACCCACCTCAGCTTCCCAAAGTGCTGGGATTACAGGCCTGAGCTACCGTTCCTGGCTGCATTCTAATTATTCTATGTACTGTTTGGTCACTCGCTTTTCTCACTTAACGATATATCAAAAATATTTTTCATATCATTAAAATTCTTTCTATAAAGTCACTTTAAAATGACTAACTAGTATTAACAAAAACTAACAATTCTTAACAATATTTCAATGGACATTTTCATAAATCTTTGTACATACTCATGATACATTAGGTAGATTTCTGGAGATAAGGTGCTGGGTCAAAGTATGCATATGTTTAAAAGTATGAAACATAAGTCATGTTGCCCTTCGAAAAGATTATATCAACGTGTATTTCCAGAACATCGATCATTCTCATGATCTCAGAGCTGAGGATTGATTTCAGTTTATGAATTTATTCATCAGATATGTATTGATGGCTCCCTGTATGGTTTTTTTGCCTGTCATGGGACCCTCCCCCAGACTCCACACCCACATCTGATATTGGACACACCCCCTAAACCCAAACATTGCCAATTCCTGGCACCTGCCTCAGCTGCTGCTCAGAACACTGAAACAAGAGCCCTCTCCCAATGTGAAAGATCTTCCACTCAAGTAGTCCCTGCTAACCAGTCACTGACCCACTCGTGCTCCTTTTCTTTCTGCATCTGTGGTGGGAGTGACTATGGCCTGGAGTTTCCGTGGGAAAGTCCAGCTCGGGGGGCTACTTCTCTCTCTCCTTGGCTGGGTCTGCTCCTGTGTTACCACCATCCTATCCTGCCCCAGTGGAAGACTTAATCTGGAACTGAATGAGATGGAGACCTAGATCATGGGGATTTGGGAGGTCTGCGTGGTTTGAGAGGAAGTTGCCACTGTGTGCAAGGCCTTTGAATCCTTCTTGTCTCTGCCCCAGGAGCTCCAGGTAGCACGCATCCTCAGGGTAGCCTCCCACGGGCTGGGCCTATTGGGGCGTTTGCTCTCCAGCTTTGGGTCTGAATGCTTCCGGTTTCACAGGATCAGATGGGTGTTCAAGAGGCGGCTTGGCCTCCTGGGAGGGACTTTGGAGGCATCTGCTTTAGCCACTACCCTCCTTCCAGTCTCCTGGGTGGCCCATGCCACAATCCAAGACTTCTGGGATGACAGCATCCCTGACATCATACCTCAGTGGGAGTTTGGAGGTGCCCTCTACTTGGGCTGGGCTGCTGGTATTTTCCTGGCTCTTGGTGGGCTACTCCTCATCTTCTCATCCTGCCTGGGAAAAGAAGATGTGCCTTTTCCTTTGATGGCTGGTCCCACCGTCCCCCCAATCCTGTGCTCCAGTAGAGGAGTCAGATGGCTCCTCCCACCTCATGCTAAACCCTTTCTCACTCTAGGTTTGTTTGCTTCATTTTGGGGGTGGTGGTCACTGTCCCACTTACCACGGATGTGATTGTCTTGATGATACGGTAGTCTTCATTTCAGAACAAAAACTCAGGGCACAGTATCTAACAAACACATTTTTCTGATTTGAGATTTTATTTATATAAAAATGCTTTAAAACTCTAACCTTAATTACATATTTGATTCTTTCATTACTAAGGAAAAATATGTTACAAAATTGCAACCATCAGAGAAAAATCTAGTGTGAATAGGCACTTACTGTTCTGTATAGGTTAAAAAAAAAAAAGTTGAAGAAGGTGCCTTGGCAAAGGAAAATGAATTACTGGCCCAGAACAGCATCTTAGGAGAGAAATCCTCTTTGTGTCCATTTTCAGCCGCAGGTGTACAGTTTGAAAGAGAGCTTCACAATACACCTTTGCTGTTTTACAGATCCTTAATATCCCAAAGGAGAGACAGAGTCTTAGTTTCTGCTACATCGTGAGGCGATGAGCAGTCTACTCTGTCTTCCCCACCTGAAGGTTAACAGTCAGTGTAAGTGAGTGGTAGGGTGACCAACTCTCCTGGTTTGCCGAGAACAAGGTACTTTCAGTGCTAAAACTAGGCAAGTCCCAAGCAAACTGGGACACAGTGATTACCTTAGAATGACTGTGTCCAAATACTGCCCAATGTGCGCATGTATATGAAAGAAGTAGCTTCTCAGAAATGTCTTTTACCATGTGCAAAATCACAGTATAACTCCTTGAATTTTTGTTTTGTTGTGTTTTTTTGTTTGTTTTTATTTTTGAGACAGGGTCTCACTCTGTTGCCCAGCCTGGAGTGCAGTGGCATGATCATAGCTCACTGCAGCCTCAAACTCTTAGGCTCAAGGGATCCTCCTGCCTCAGCCTCCCGAGTAGCTGGGATTACAGGCATGAGCCACCAAGCTCAGCTAATTTTTTACATTTTTTGTAGAAATGGGGTCTCACTATATTGCCCAGCTGGTATCAAACTCCTGGCCTCCCCTTAAATTTTAACCTGTCAGCAGACCTACCCAGGTTGCGGCTACAAATCAAGTCCCTTCCTAACCTAAGTTCCTTTGCTTGCTCTGCCTGCAATGGCAGGCTCTCTCCTGACTACCCCACCTCAGGTCTTCCTCCTGCATTTCTGCAGGTCCTCAAGGAGGAGCCTCCTGTTGCTCATAAACCTGTTTGTCAGCTGCAATCATTCTGCAGCATCCACCTTGGTCCTCTCCCTGCCACCTGTCCTCCACTCCTGTAATCAGTTCAAGAATCACCATTGGCCCCGCCAACAGTTCCCTCAGGAGAGCAGCTAAAGGGGATGGCTCCTAATGCCCCACGTAGATCACTTCTGCAGGTTCAGAGGCATGCTGGATTCCTCACAGTACAGGGGACATTCCTCCCTCCCCAAGCTGGTGCTGTGCTTTGTCGGCTCAACTCTGAGGTCTCACAACGCTTCTCACCTCCTGATAAAATAGCCCCAACATCATGAGATAGCCATTGCTCAAGCAAGAATATACACACTCAGACACAAGAGTAAACAAATTTGCCAAAGTAGCCCGGGACAGTTTCCTCCTTAGAAAAGTGCCTTTTTTTTCCCCCCTGCAGAAATGGAGTCTGCACAGGTGCAACTTCATCTTCTGCAACTCTTACCTTCTTACCCAGAGCAGATTTCTCTGGAAGTCACAGTTTCTCCAGAAAGCACCTTCTCCTTTTATGGCTGTCCTTTTATGTATGTCTACTTGGCACGCACAAATCAAAATGATCCCTAGGCAAATACAGCTCTGAGTACAAAGGGCCAGTTTGCATCAAAGGTGTATCCTGGCTTTCTGTGTCTGGTAGGTCAGAAAATGGTTTCTAATGCCTGTTATATTAGCTACTCCTTCTCAATAAAGGTTCAAAGCTCTTTGGACCAAGTTTCAGTCAGGGGTGAGGCTCAATTATCTGAGCATTTTCTTGACCTCCCAGTGTCTACATGAAAGAATCATTTCATTACTCATCCATCTGATCATTTATTCACTCACTTAACAAACATTTATTGAGCACTGACCATGTACTAGGAACCAGGATAAAATGGTAAGACAAAATATATTCCTGTCCCTCATTCAGGCAAATTAGGGAGACAAATTTTTTTTTTTTTTTTTTTTTTTTTTTGAGACGGAGTTTCGCTCTTGCCCAGGCTGGAGTGCAATGGCGCGATCTTGGCTCACTGCAAACTCCGCATCCCAGGCTCAAGCAATTCTCCTGCCTCAGCCTCCCAAGTAACTGGGATTACAGGCGTGCGCCACCACACCCTGCTAATTTTGTATTTTTAGTAGAGATGGGGTTTCACCACAGTCAGGCTGGTCTCAAACTCCTGACCTCAAGTGATCCACCCGCCTCGGCCTCCCAAAGTGCTGGGATTATAGGCGTGAGCCACTGCCAAGCCAGGAGACAAATATTAATGTAAAATCACTCAAATAAATGTAAATAGTAACTTTGACAACCTTTACAAATTTGGAAAGGTACATGGTTCTATAAGATCACGCAATAGTTTAATCAACTTTTATGAATGTAAAAAAGAGAAAAATATATATACATAAAAAAGATCATGCAATAGGAGGGATTTAACCTAGTCAGTGGTTCATGAATCGATACTCAAAGGAAGCGATAACTGGCTGAACAGTAAAGGGTGGGTAGCAGTTCCAGATGAGGAGGGGAGAAGAAGATGCATAAGGTGAAGCTGGCAAAGCAGGAAGAAGTCAGACCTTGTAGGGCCTTGTAGGCGTCAATAAGGAACATAGTCTCTATTCTCAGGAACATGGGAAACCAAGCGCATGGTCCGGGAACAGGAGCTTGGCAGCAGTAACCCGCTCTCCCTTTTCTAATGACTTGTCTCTATGAAATTTCCTTATCACACAGTTGTGTTGGGCTTACAGGTTTACAAAGCACTCCTACAGATGTTGGTAGTTTTACTGAACATATCTTAAAAATTTTTTGAGTTTTGGAAGAGCAGATATTATTTGTTTTGCTACTGAGGAAAATGAGATTCCGAGAATTTAGGTGACATGCCCATGGTGAGTAATTAACTGACTCAAGACTTGAAGCCAGGGTTTGGTACCATGGCAGTCTTTCTTCACTTTGTCCTATGACCTCATGGGATGGGTTGCCTAGACAATCAACCAGACCAAAGGAAAAACTCTCGCTGAAGGCCAGGCGTGGTGGCGCATGCCTGTAATCCCAGCACTTTGGGAGGCCGAGGCAGGCAGATCACCTGAGGTCAGGAGTTCAAGACCAGCCTGGCCAATATGGTAAAACCTCATCTCTATAAAAATACAAAAATTAGCTGGGCATGATGGTGGATGCCTGTAATCCCAGCTACTTGGGGGGGCTGAGGCAGAGGTTGCAGTGAGCCGTGATCGCGCCATTGCACTCCAGCCTGAGCGACAGAGTGAGACTCTGTCTCAAAAAAAAAAAAAACAACAAAAAAAAACAACTTCTCACTGAAGTCGATGGAAAAACCAAAGACCTTCAAAATAAAACCCTCGTTTGTGCTTATGCTGAGGTTTAAACAGGGTCTTTGTTGCCAGGTGGCTCACCTGCTCCTGCTGATGGTTTGCAGCCCTCACCTGAATCCCACATTTGCAGGTGCTGATGATATTTTTTCATCAGCAAGTGATTATGGCTTCCTCTGCAGAGAAATGGACACTAACGATTTGTTAAGAAAATATTCTGTCTTCCCAACTCTCTTTATAAAGGACAAAAGGAGTTTTTAAAATGGGTGTGGGCAGAAACTCTTGATGACATACTGGCCATGTGGCCAACAGCATGTCCTTCCCCAAAAGGGAATGTGATCTGCATTCTAGTGGGAATCCGCATTTAGAGAAAGAGTCTGAGGAAGGAGATGCTGTTCACCTAAAACTGCCACTGTTTTTAGCCACCTGCTTTGAAGGGGGAAATAATGAGAAATAAAAATAGAACTAATTAAATCATAACTTCAACACCGCTTTTTTTCATATAGATCTGGGGCAGATTATTCTCACATCAAAAACGTTTCTTTATTGTGGTTACACATGGAGAGGTGTGTAGTCATATGTATCGGAAAGAGAAAGAAACATTAATCAATCAATATTTCAAGCCAGAAGTATTTATTATGTGCAAGGTAGTGGAGGAAAATAACTCAGGGACTCACCGAATTTGATGCAGTTAGAGTTTAGGCATTTGGTGCTATCTTCTCCATCAAACTGTCTTTGGGTTTGAAAATTTCACCATTGGGAGTGAAGGCATTCCAGAAGGTCTCTATTAAAATACTTATCCGTAACCCTTCTGAACTTCTGAATTAGCTCTAGGGAAAAGTCCTAAGGGAACGTGATTTGGGGATGGGAAAGAAGTCAGAATGGTTTCAAGGCCTTCTGGCTGGGAGATGTGTCCTCGCAGCCAGGATCAGGACAATAAGAAACTCAGGAAAATGTTTGTTTGTAGTCACTGGTCTCATAGGGAACTAAAAGAAGATGTAGTTCCCTTTCTACTCCATCACTCGATGGATCTATTATTTTTTAACCCAGTTGTTCTTCTCATGACCCCATCTACATTTATAGGATGTGGAATGAACTTTTCTGTTGCCCAGAGTTTTGAGTAAAGCCTCAAAGCCCTGTCCCATAGGTGATAGTGCCTTATATTCTAAAGAGATGGGCTGCTAAGAAGCGTCCAAACGGGTCCACCTTCACTCCCAACATCCCACAGGAGAGAAGAGTCCAGACTCATTAAGGGAGGATTCCTGGAAGGGATTTCATAACAGTCTAGAGTATTATTATGTTCTCTATCCTTCCTAGCGAGGAATGGGATGGAGGTGGACCTTGAGAGAACCACGTGCAGGTCCAAGTTGTTCCCAGGAGGGAATACTGGCATCTGAGACACCCCCCATCCCAAACTGCTGAGCCACAGAAACTCCGTGGGCCCGCTCCTGCTGCAACCAGAATGGAGCCCAAGAAAGCTCTTGGGAAAATCTAGGCAGAGGC